AGTTTCTTTAATAGTACACAACCTTGTAACTCTATAAATTGAGGCTCTTGTTCACATCTTCGATACGCTCAATAATACATCTTCCATGGGGGCTTAAGGCTCAAATGTACATAAATACAGTTTTTACCATAGTATCAAAGCAAAGATTCCATAATTAGTTTTTAGAATTTGCAATCTCACACAAATCTGGTCACTCAAGATAAGTTCTTGTTTTCTTTCCAACAAGGGATTGTAGAGAGAAGGAATCCTTGTCTCTTGCTCTGACCTCCTCGGCTTCCTTCAGAGAACGAAGGAGCAGAAGAAAATCCTACCTAGGGTTTGTTTTATTCAGAGGCTGATAAAGCCATTAATCTCTTACATGGGTCTCGTCCAGTTGAGGTTGAGCTTAATCAACTAGAGAGTGAAGTAAAAAGGTGCTTTCATTCTGATGCCCCTGTCTTCCATGTGGTTATGGGCCATTATGCTTGCTTAACCGTGGTTTTCGCTGCTGATGTGTGGTGTATTGCTTATGTTGTAGTGGCAGTCCTTGGACCTCTCCGTCACTTCAATAATGCTTTTGATTTTATTCTTCCTTGGTAATCAAGTTTGGTACATTTTGGTATTTATCATGGGTTATGGGCAACTTGTTATGGGTCTTGCAGGCAGTGGAAACTCCAGCTTCAACTTCCCTATGTTAATATCCTCTCTAAGATGCAACCTCGTTACAAACAAGAAAGGATTTAGAAGGCTATTTAAATCCAGAGACACAGGTATTACTGTCAGAATTGAATCAATATATGACACCATATGTAAAATAGCTATCGAGTCGTGTTTCGACTCTCTAATCTATCTCTCTGCTAAGTCGTGTTTCGACTCTCTACTATGTCTCTCAGTCGACGTGTGTTTCGACTCTATGATCTATCTCTTTGCCAAGTTGTGTTTCGACTCTCTAACCCGTATCTCTACCAACTCGTATTTCGACTCTTTGATTTGTTTTGGATCTTACTGTTCTCAACTCTAAATCTAACGTCATATTGTGCTTGTTGGTCCGCCGCTGATTTCTGTTGGCTCTTCCAAGTGCCTGCAATTTGATGACCGAATTTATCAATCATGGTTGATGATCAAGTTTTCTGTTACTAGATCATGTTTTAATAATTGAGTTTTCCGTTACTCAAACCTATTGGATGATGGAGTTTTTTGTATCTATCATATGTGATGATCAAGTTTTTTTTATTACTCGATCATGTCTGTTCCGAAGGCCTGATGATTTGATATTATGCACGACTACTTTGTTCAAGGTGTCGGTTTCTGAGGATCATTAAATTAACTGCTCAAGCTTCTTATGTTCCTGCTTTGTTTCTACGGCCTGCTTTGAGTTGTCAAAACTCAAGTTGTTCTTCTTAATGCATCTTGATTTTGAGGGGGAGTGTGGAAATATAGAAACCTACGCTAAGGCCTGTTTTGAGTTGTCCAAACTCAAGTTGCTCTTTCTTAATGTATCTTGATTTTGAGGGGGAGTGTGGAAATATAGAAACCTGCGCTTAATTTTTAGAACAATATTCTTCTTCCTTTACGTGCACCCATGTTAGGAAGATGGTTCATTACATATGTTAGTTTTTTTAATAGTACACAACTTTATAACCCTATAAATTGGGGCTCTTGTTCACATCTTCGATAAGCTCAATAATACATCTTTCATAAGGGCTTAAAGCCCAAATATATAGAAATATAGTTTCTAACAAGAGAGAAAAAGCAGAAGACAGCTCACGCCGAAGTAAAGTTTATAAGATGTAAATCCAACGAATAACTAAAAGAGAAAGAAACACAAGAACCAAGCAGTCATAACCCGTTAGAGAGAGCAATCACCCGTTTATAGATAACTATATCATTTTTGGTATCCATAAACATGCCAAACATAGCTCTTATATCACATGTAACATAAACTATATATTTACAAATTGTAATAATTGAAAAAGGGAAAAGTTTATATAAGGTTGCAACCTTAAAATGTAGAACTACGGATGCACCTCAAAAATCCATCGAAAAAGGTCGTTTTAATGTTGAAAAACCATGTGATTGATCATCTTGACATCGAGATGTATGACTATGAAAAATAAAAAGATTTTGGGTCTCAGAAATAGTGCATCTTACAACATATTATCTACACCGTCCATTTTCAAAATTTCCATATGTTTATAGATCTACTTGATTTTAACCATTTTTTAAATTTAAAATTTTATAATTAGATATAAAAATAGATTTTGAGATAATCTTAAGACTATTTTACTTCAAAATTATATATTATGATAAAATTTGAAGGTACACCTTAGTTGGATTGTTTAAGGTTGCAACCTTATGGAAACCACACCCACCCATTGAAAAAACATGTTAATCGAGTGTTCACAATTACCGAAAAATGGAAATAAAATTGAAAGACCTAAACTACATGCCATGAGATAGAAACGTTCCTAATCTTTAGCTTTTTATGGGTCCCGAGAGGGGACATGTTAATTGGTGTTCGGTGTTCACAATTACCGAAAAATGGGAATGAAATCTTTAGCTTTTTATGGGTTCCGAGAGGGGACATGTTAATCGGTGTTCGGTGTTCCCAATTACCGAAAAATGGGAATGAAATTGAAAGACCTAGAGGGGACATGTTAATCGGTGTTCGGTGTTCACAATTACCGAAAAATGGGAATGAAATTGAAAGACCTAAACTACATGCCATGAGATAGAAAGGGTCCTAATCTTTAGCTTTTTATGGGTCCCGAGAGAGGGGTGAGATGGAAACGATCCTAATCTTTAGCTTTTTATAGGTCTTGAGAGAGGGGTGAGATGGAAACGGTCCTAACCTTTAACTTTTTATATACAAAGTGGTCACGCTCAAGACTCGAACCCACACTCTTGCGCTGGCCTTTTACCATCACACCAAGTGACGGCCCTTGATCAAACACGCACTATGAATCTTAATATTCCACTCCCTTGAAAGCACCCACCCCAGAAATGCGAAAATTGTTGCCGAAGCTTGTAGAGGTGCTTCCAAAGTGGCATATTGGGGTATTCACAAGTATAATGGACCAGTACTTTAGCAACTACTCAATTATTGTGCTTAACCCTTCTCCCAGCCAAGATAGCTTTGCTGAGTGATAGCCGAATCTGAATATTTCTCTCACAATTATGGTACAATGCAAGGCAAAAAAATCCAGGCAGTTGTGTCTCAATCAAATAATCTAGAAATACTGATAACCAAATTATTTTCTTGTGGAACTCTTTTAAGTATAATAGACTTCATAGAACTTCCCAACTGCATAAATCCATCTACCCATATTTTTCTTTTGACAATATTCCAAATTTATTAATCAAATAAATAAAAAAGATCAAATCATCTGAAATAACCAGCCAACAATGTTTAGCTAATCCATCTGCAATGTCATTTGCTTCTTTATGAACACATCAAGAGGAGATCTGTAGGGAAACCGCAATGTCTAAAATATTCAACCACCAAAGTTTCAAAGTCTAAGGTAATCTTCACTCCTTATTACTTTATTTAATCAAATTCATAGTCACCTTTGACCAAAATATATACACCTATTTAATTTTTGGAAAAATGGTAGATACTCACCAAAATCAACTTTCTACACATCCTACTCTCAATATTTTTTGTATTATATCCTAAACCCCAACATTATTTTCTTTAGTATTTACCCCCCCAATGAAAAAATCGATGAATATTGAGAAAAAATTGCCTCTTTTCTTTTTCTTCCCCTTTTATCTCTCTACCTCTCTCCACCTGTCCTCTCTCTCTCTACCCTCCCTCACTCTTTCTCTCTCCAATTTTTTTATACGATTTGACACACTCCTTGCTAAACCACACAAATTCCAGTAACTTCTCCTTTGCCCCTAACAAGGTCCAACAAAGATTATGCCAGACCGCATAAAAAAATAGAGAGAGAGAGAGATAGAAAGAGTGAAAGGTAGAGAGAGGAAGCGTGGAGGACAGAGAGATAGAGAGAGAGAAACAGGTGGAGAACGAGAGAGAGGACGAGTCGAGAGATGCAAAAAGAGAAAAAAGGAAAGAAAGAGAAAATTAACAATTTTGTCTCAAAACTCATTGACATTTTTATAGGATAAGTAAAAAGTTAACTTTGGGAAGTATTTATAATTTTCTTTTTATTTTTCTTTAAAAACTTTCTAGTCTTACAAAAACAAACTATGATTGGCCATAATGTCACCACAAGGTAAAGTCATGTATAACATAAGATGATAGCCCATTCCAATCTCTCATCAACCACTAAGGAGAAAGTAAAGACTTAGAGAGAGGGAGAGTCGCAAACTCCTAGGTACGAAGGCAAGGCTTAGAGAGAGAGAGAGAGGGAAAAGAGAATTTTTTATTGGGTAGTTATAGTGGTAGGAATTGAACTTGAGATATAACCACCCCATAGAGAGTAGATTGGGATTGACGAGCTCTTGCCTAAGTTGAGAGAGAGAATACAGGTAAAGAGAGAAATTTGACTATCCACCTCTCTTAAAGAGTCTCTTGGGTTCTTGTCTTAAAACGCTTCACTCAGAAAGATTAGGCCAAATTGGTGAACCAACTGACCATGCAAACTCCATGCTTAGTTTTAAAAATTGTTTCTCTTCACGAGCTTTTCGATTGGATTTAGGTAAAGAGAAGTGCGAAATGGCTTTGAACAATGGGAGATGAAGTTTCCCTTCGTCCGTTGCCTTGTACGGTAAATGGCACCTTTAGGATCAAGCAATTCCCATCCAGATCGGCGTTTTTTCTAAATATTAGTTTCTATGATTGCTCTCTCTCTCTCCTAGTGTGTGTGTTTTTTCCCAGGTTTGTTGTAACATTACAAAACGCTTTTAGTAATTTTAGAAAAATGTCCAGAATCACTGTTTTTGCCCAGATATGTTATGAAATTGATGAATTATGTCATAGTCGTGCAGCATTTTTGTGGTTCCATATATAACAGAATTGTTATTCGGTAATTTCCTCAAGGTGCACCACGAACATGTGTTCAAAGGCAAAGCCTTCGATTTTAGTAGGAGATAGTCTTGTTCAGTAAGAGAAGGCCTTGATTTCGAAAAGGCTCAGCACATCAGTAACTTGCAACCCAAACCTCTTGGTCAAAATAAAGAACTCAATGTTACAACAAATGATGATCAAGAAGAAAGAAGGGTACAATAACAAAAACTACAATCTAACCGAGCAAATTTTCATCACACCTGGTGATACTTGTACTTCTGGCGAAGGTTAAATCGATTGACGTTGTCATCGAAGCCTTCTAAAACTAAAGTTCTCACTGCTTCCACACCTTGCCATAGAGCAGCATTTATCTAACCCAAAAATTATCAGCAAGACCATCGATAGTAACACCAACTTCCAAATACCAAGACAAGAATATCACTTAAAAAGGAAAACTAATTTGCAAAGTATCACAAGATCTGAGAAAATTAAATTTCCAGAGTATCACAAGATCTGCCCAGCGCCCAACCCCACGGATGGACGCACACACGCACGAGTAAACTTATACAGTATGTCTTTCATGTTTCATCACCATCCAAAGACTATCAAACAGTCACAATTGTTTGATGATATTTGAATTTTAATACTTTTTACAAATCAATTAACTCAAATTTTGTGGGTATGTGCACCTTAGTGAGGTACACCTAAATGAAATATAAAAAATACTTCAAATACAAAAATAATCAAATTATGCCTATGAATATTTCAGGTGTATTTTCATCGTTTTATTTTTATCTTTTTGATATTTTATTTTTGTGAGAGATGGTTAGATATACATACACCCCAAATTTCAAATAAAACATATTTCTAGAGAAACTACTAAAATTCAAACAGGAGAATCATGTCCATCTGAATAACTTTGAATGGTGATGAGCCACGAGTAAAATATTATAGAAATTCACTCAGAGGTGTTTGTAAGTGTTATCCTATATATGTATGCACGTGCGTGTGTGTGTGTTTTACCTTTCTTTAGACATTGAGAGCCCCTGCAAAAACTACATGAAATTCATAAACACTAGTCACAACTTTTATCGACTGTCTAGGGTAGCTCAACATTCCTAAATAAACAATTTCAGGCAACCATTTGTCAGTTTTAACAGAAAAGGGAGAAAACAATAATTATGGTGATTATCTTAGGAAGACATACAAGTACGTACTAAGTGTAAAAGTAAAATTTTCAGGGACCAAAGTGTCACCTACTAAAATGGCAAGCTAGGAAAATCAAAAAGCAAAAACTGTAGGGGCACAATACTCATTTCTATACATAGGAGATGTTCAAGAGACGAGGCAGTTCATGTAACACGCCATAATGCAAAGCGGGGGGTATATAAGGTGTGTCTCAGTCAGTTTTGCCACTGAGGAATACATTTGAGAGAAAATGGACAGCCGAAAGAGGACACCTTTGAAAATAAAAATAGGCGGAGAGGACTGTTTTGTTTCTTTTGACAAGGTTACATACGAATGGAACTTGAGACGTTGGGCTATGAAACCTAACCTCTACCGTCTTGACCCAACCCCGTTTCCTAAGGTGGAGAGGGCTATTTAAACAAAAGTTGTTAAGATTTCAGTGATTTATCCACCTATCAGGTAGAGAGATGAAACCTTTCTCCTCCCCGTCATTTTATGTATCCACAGCATGTTTAGAAGTATATTAGTATCTGAATGGCTAGTTCAGATTTTCCACAATTAAACGTGTCTTCTGAATCTAAAACAATCGATTCCAAGGAATAAAAATATTCAGAACTATCCATTTAAAATCAATCCACATTAAGAATACATAAAGTTGAGCATGTGTACTTGTTCACGCTCCTTTGCACTGAACTTTTGCAGCAAATAAGCTTTCATGTCCATGGTTCCTGGAGGATTCCCAATGCCTGAGAATGCCATGGAAAATAACACTTCAGCCATTCAACAATAAACCTATAAAATTGTTTCTTATAAGGGTGCTTTTGTATAAGGCCTCAACCTTAAACAATCAAGGTACTTTAAATCTTGCTAAAAGAATCGCAGTTCCAGTGTCAGAAACCCTTATGATGGCCTAAAAATCTATTTTCACCTGTAATAATGAAATTTGAAGTTCTATAAATAGTTTAGCTCAAGAAGATCAATTGTATGGCTTTTTTTCATGTCGAAACAACCTTTCCGGTAGAAATTTGAGGCACACCTCTACAAAATAATGGTTGACACCTTATATAAATAGCAACAAACTCAAAAAATTAAAAAATAATTAATAGCTCAATATGTGAGTTATGAAATTCAAGGTTAACCTACGCTCAGTCGAGGAAATTCGCAGGAATTATCAAGATGATCCATAACACTCTTCATCCTGAAAGAACAAGACAACAATTAGTCGAAGAGAATCGAATTATATAACCCAACTGAGAGAGAGAGAGAGAGAGAGAGAGAGAGAGAGAGAGAGAGAGAGAGAGAGAGAGAGAGAGAGAGAGAGAGAGACGAGAGACGAAGAACGAACGAACGTAACGTAAGAACGTAACGTAACGTACGTAGTACGTAGTAGTACGTAGTACGTACGTACGTCGTACGTCGGTACGGTAC